CTCATGTTTTTAAGGGATTTTTTGCTGTTTTAATAGTGTGTAACCCCCTTAATGATATTCATGATATTCATGAATAATAATCAATCAATTCGCATCTGTCCTACCAAAAAAAAAACCAATAGGATAAATAATTAATTGTACATGTCAATCAAGTCACAAACTTCTTGATTTTAAAAATGTCAGGAAAAATAATAAAAGAAGTAAACAAGAAGATGCTGAAAAAATATATGGGTAAGTGATTTGTGAAAGTCCAGAGTTCAAATTGAGAAATGGTAAAGTTGGGTTTGCCTCACCTGTAAACAAAATTTTATCATTTTTACAAAGATGCACTTCAACAAAGAAACCATTGAAAGATGGTTTTAGTCTAAAGGATTTGATGAAGGCATCATTATCTAGGATTGATTCTGAGACATTGAAAAATAATCTTGATCATTCAAAGGATGGAAAAAAGTTGCTGGAGCAGGCATGGCAGATGGAGTTATATAGAGGAATATATAGCTGTCTCCCTGATCAAATGCATATATCACCAGATGTTGGACATATATTTTCAACAAATGGATCAGTTGACTTCTACATTACTGAGCCACAATGGGCAATTGAGTTGCTCACTGATGGGGACAGAATGAAAGAACATTATAATCATTTCCAAAGTGGTATGTGAGTTTATTCATATAATTGTGCAGTATATGGATTATTTAATTTTACCTGCTAATACATGTATATTTTGTATATATACATTTCTTTTTATTTAGGAATACCAATAAAATCATATATCCTCCTGGATTTCTGGGAGACTAAGATGATACAAAAATACTACTCTAACACATGGCACATTAAGCCAAATGAAGATTTTTCACATTTCAACTCAATATGATAAATTTGAAATTCGAATCATCAATACTGAATCACCACTATATCAACAATATAATGATTCTTCAGATGATGATATTATTAATATTTTTTTTTCTGCAACACAAAAAGATTCAAGCTCAAAAGATGACAATAGTATAGCACAGGGTTGGCAAATATGTAGTCCATTGATGGTCTATTGGTGATCCATTGGGTCCATTAGTGTAACATTTTAACTATATTTAGTATTCTATTAATGGCAATGGACCAGTCCAAAGTCCATCAGTTCTCAATGGACAGTCAATTTGCCAACCTTGGTATAGCACAACCACCAGTGGCTACACCATCTGCATGTGAATCAGATAACAATAAAACTGATCAAAATAGCATTAATGTAAAATCATCAAATAGTAGGCCAAGAAAATATATTAATTGTGATCTAGCAGATGAAGTTTTAAAATCATTTCAAATGCATATTCTTCCTAATAACAAACCAATATATGATGGCGTTGATTAGAAATGGGCAGATCAGTACTATACATATAGTGATATGTATAGTGCATATAGTTCTAGAAAAATATAGTAGTAAATGTAAATCAATTCCTGTTTAGGTTATTGCCAAATAATAGATGTGATGTT